TATTTTGACTCAGCAAAGATGTGTTACATTTGTTTAATTGTGTAAAGATGTGTTACATCTGTTTCATCTTGCCTGCCTAAGGCACCCGATTGGTCTAATAAAAAGCTGAGTGGCCAATAGCTAGGCAGAAAAGGGATAGGTGGGGCTGACGGGCAAAGAGGATAAATAGAGGGGAAATCTAGAGAGAGAAAGAGGAGGGAAGAGGAGAGAAGAGAATGAGGGAGAAAAAAAGGGACATGCCCAGGGCAAGAAGCTAGGCAGCCACCAGACAGACAAGCAAGGTATACAGAAAGAATGAATGAAAGAAAGAAAGAGAAAGGAAGGAAGAAAGAAAGGTAAAGAGCCCCGAGGCAAAAGGTAGAAAAAATGAAGCTGGTTAATTTAAGTTAAAAGAGCTAGCTAAGCCGGGCTGTGGTGGTGCATGCCTTCAATCCCAGCACTCGGGAGGCAGAGGCAGGTGGATTTCTGTGAGTTCGAGGCCAGCCTGGTCTATAGAGCTAGTTCCAGGACAGGTCCAAAAGCTACAGAGAAGCCCTGTCTCAAAAAACAAACAAACAAACAAACAAACAGCAACAAAAACTAGCTAGAAAGGAGCCTAAGCTAGGCTGAGCATTCAAAACCAATAATAAGTTTCCCCTGTCGTGATTTGGGAGCTGGTTGGTGGCCCAAAAGAAAAAGCCTGGAACAGCCCCCCTTTTTTGAGATAGGGGTTCCCTATGTAACCCAAGGTGGCCTCAAACTCCCAGCAATCCTCCTGCCTCGGTTTCTGGAGTGCTCAGATTAAAGGTATGCATCACCATGCCTGGCTCTGGCTGGCTTCTTTAATCTCATTTTCTCCTTGCACAAATGCTACTTTTCAAAGAAAAATTATACCCGTCTTAAAAATAATGCAATAAAATAAAAAGCCACCACTGCCACCCTTCCCTTTCTGTGGTTTGGTTGCAGCGCTAAAGCTGCCTTCTAGCCTATTCTAGGATGCGTTTCTTTTGGGTTCTGTTTGTCTTGATGAGGCTGTAAGCTCCTGGATGGCAGGGACTGCCTGCTGTGTCCCAGGGTCCCCCATGGTGCCTGCCATACAATGGTTCTTTAATAAATGGGGAATTTGATTGACAGAGGTAGGTCATGCTGGGAGCTGGGGAAGATGTCCGGTTAACAGGGTCATGGCATGGGCAGGGCTAACATGAACAGAGGGGCAGGAGGAGTGAGGGAAATAAGCCAGTCATGGACCACAGGGAATCCCTGAGGGCCTGCAAGCAAGAAAAGGCCTATACGACCCAGGTGTTCAAACAGAGCCTGCCCGATGCCTGACACCTGTTCAGTTGGCAGAGTTGCACAGGCTAACAGGGAAGGGGGAGCAAGGTGCAGCCTGGGAAACACGGAGTGCAATGGGAGCTGTTGCCGTGGGTTTCTGTGATGGAGATAGGCAATGCTGGCAGAGTCATGAGATGAGATTGGGGACACGGTGTGTGCTTTGTAAACAGAAACAGGCCTGCAGCTGTCCCCATGTGGGGCGGAAAGTCTGACTTGGTTCCTCTGCCCTGCAGCTGTGTTCCACAGCGATGGACACTGACCTCCCGTGAGACAGGGCGGATCTTCCCACCCTGTGTGTCCCCCAGGCCCACCCTGCCAGCTGGCTCCTGGCCCCAGCACAGGGAGAGTGGAAAAAAGCGTGGCCTGTCCCCACTGGCTGTGTGACTCTGGGCAGGTTGATCCCCCTCTCTGGGCCTCCTTCCTGGTCCCCCTCCAGTGATGATGTGAGAATCACATCACAGACCAAGGAGTCCTTGACCCCTCTGCACGCTGATCACACCCAGTAGGTGTGAGGATTTCATACACTGGTCAGCCCTGGACAGGAGTAGGATGGGACTGTGTGTGTGAGGTGGGGAAACTGAGGCTGAAGAGGTGAAACTACTTCTGGAGGTCACCCCAGCTTGAAGGTGGCAAAAAAAAAAAAGGAGAAGGGAGGGGCTGGGAGGAAAAGGAATGGGTGGGGGCGGGGCACGGAGAGCTGTGGAGGGAGACACAGAAACACACAGGACCTAAGCGCTGGATCCCGGAATCCGGGAGCGGATGAGGATGGATGCAGTGGCCAGTGAGGGCCTCACCCAACATGGCCATGTCCTCCCAAGAGGAGGCAACATGAGGACATCAGGGGACAGGATACCCTGAATCTGAGGGGTAGGACCTAGGGGAGAGCCAGCCCCACCCCATCCTCAACCTTGGGTTTCTAGACTCAGAAGCTCAGAATTCAAATTCTGCAGCTCAAGCCCTTGGGTTGGTGGATGAAGGAAAAGACTCAGAAGTAAGGGCTGTGAGGGGCCATGGGCTGGCTAGTGGGGGCTGCCTGATTTACGGAGACACCCACAACTCTTTCCTAGTCTAGTTCACACGACAGGACCAGGGGTTGGCCAACGGGTCCCTCCCCATCCCTCTCCCCTGGGACCCATGCATACCTCATGCTGAGTCAGGGGTTTATTTCTTGGTGCTTCTTGGAGAGGAAGATTGGGGAGTCTTGACATAGACTCGTCAGGCTGAGAGGGGGGTCCACATGGCCGAGTGGGACAGGAGTGGGGTGTATCGAATGACCAATACCTCCAGGAGCTGGTTTTCTCCTCCCCATGGCCCTCTCTAGCTCAAGCACACTCTATGGCTCCCAGCTGCTAGAGGCACTAACCCCAAACTCTCTCAAGGTTCCCTAGTTTGGCTCTCACCCCCCCCCCCATTCAGAAAACTGTTTTCCCCATTCACTAAGGAGGCTGTACCTCTGTGTGGTTTCTAGAATCTTCTAGGTATGTTCAGCCTCCATTCCTATGCACCTGAAATGCCCATCCTTTCTCTTATGTACAGACAGAACACCCCAGCACCTCCCTGGACACACCGTGTTCTCTGAATTCCCTAGAAACACATGTTCCTCCCCATGGTGGCCTGTTCCAACCACCCACTCCCTCTGGACCACACATTACCCTGTTCCACCATCTCCCTAGACCTCCGCACACCTCCTAGGACTGTGCCCACCGACTCCCTTGATCACTGTGTGTCTGTCTTCTGTGTGGTTGGGAGAACTCAGTCCTCCCCAACCAGCTCAGCCTTGTGAGTTCACACCCAGGGCACACTTGTGGAGAACGAACACGCGTCAGGAAAAGCTGAGTGATTTATATCGTGTGTCCCCAAGGAGTTGCTCCCAGCACTGTCCTCAGTGACCCATAAAGTGTGTGCAGAAATGGGGTCCATGACACGGCTCAGAGGGTAAAGATGTCTGCTGCCAAGCCTGATGATCTGAGAGCCATGCCGGGGGTCAGTACAGAAGGGGAGGGAACTCCTGCAAGCTGTCTCTTGGTCTAGACACACACAATTTGGAGCGCACGCATGCGCGCATGCGTACACACACACACACCCCAATATGTAAGTGACCTTACAATGCAGAGAACACGTGTGTGTCTGTCTGTCTGTCTATCGTCTCTCTGTGTACACACATGTATGCTGGTGCCTGCAAAGGCCAGAAGAGAGCATGGGTTCTCCTGGAGCTGGAGTTACAGGTGGTTGTGAGCTGGCTTATGGCTGCTGGGAATTGAACTTGGGTCCTCTGGAAGAGCAGCCAGTGCTCTCCAGCCCTCTCCCTCCAGAACGCAAAGCTCAGCAGCTGATGTGTCTGCCATAGTGGTTGTCCAGCGAGCCCTGGGATTCTGTCTGCCCCCAGCCCTGAGACTACAGGGATGCACAGCTGTGCTTGGTGTTTATGTGGGTGCTAGGGAGCCAAACTCAGGTCCATGTGATTGTACCCCAATATCCTCAACCTGCACTTTGAGCCTCCTCCCAGGACATCCTCACCTGTCCCCCTCTGTCCTTTTGGATCTCAGCCTGTTCTTTCCCATTACAGGAAGATCCCGGTGGAGACTCCAACTCTTGGACCACATCATAGTGTTTAGCTTTTAGTGTTTCCTTCCTCTTGGGGACCCCCACTAATCCAGCCCTGGTCTCTCTGCCCTCTCAGTTCTGGCTGTGAGTCTCCCTGTTACCCCTTCCAGGCTGCTCCTCTGTCCAGGGTGGTCTCACAGCAGCTCCCTGGGCCCCTGTCCTGTGGCCTGGGGCACTAAACCCTGTGATTTCCATACTGGGTTCTAGTCCTCAGTCTTTAGTGTGGTCCTAATGTGAAGATCAGGTGGTGAAAAGATCCCCCAAAACAACAACAACAACAACAACAACAACAACAGCAAGTCTCTCGTTGAAGCAAGAGACTAGTTCCCTCTGGCCTGCTTCCGTACCAGGTCATTTCAGTCCCTGTAGGTCAGCTTGGAAAGTAACATTAAGAACCCAAAGTAACTGCGATCTTTCTTTCAAGAAACTAGCTACTACTCCAAGGTCGCAGTGGCCTGGAGCAGGTGAGACTCTTATCCTCCCAAAATTTCTTTCAGAAAGGCAAGACGGCTCAGATGGTAAAGGGGACTTGCCATCAAGCCTGATATCCCGAGTTCGATTCCTCGCCCACAGTAAACAAAACACCCATCACTGGCTCTGTTAGTCTGGGCTGAACCCCTGCTTTCCTGGGTGATGGACAGAAGGTATCTCTCTTTTATGGCCTCTGGAATTGTCTTGGGGAAGGTGTCACCAACTGACACTGAGAAAGTTTGGCAAATAATAAAATATATTGGGGTTAGGAAGATGGTTCAGTGAGTCAAGTGCTTGCCACACAATGATGAAGATTTAAGTTCCATGGCTCAGGAAGGTGTGTGTGTGTGTGTGTGTGTGTAACAGTCAGACAATGGCAGTCATGGTCCCCAAGAGTTTATTTGCCAACCAGCTTAATCAGATGGTGAGCTGGGACACCTGTCAGCTGTAAAGGGGATAATGGTGGTCTCTGACTCTGTCCAGCTTGCTAATCTGCTCCACCACAAAGTGAGTCCGTGAGGGGTAGCCCACACCAGTACGTTTTCCACCCTAGCCTTGGCCCTGGTAGGCAGTGGCCCCTGGGTGCCCTTCCAGAGGAGCTGGGGACTTCTTACCCTGGCGGGATGGAGGCGCGTGCGCTGACGCTGGTGGCTCGCTGGGGTCCTGGCCGGCTGAGGTTATTCTGGCCGGTGGGCGCTCCATTGGGGGCGCTGGGACTCCTCGGGGGAACTCCTGGAGGAGGCGCGGGCTCCGTGGGGACGGCGGCAGGTGCGGCCCAGAGCGCGGCCCCGGCGAAGGTGGCGCTGGGGCGCACAGCGAGCGCACCGGGGGGCCCTCCTGGCGGCAGCGGTGGAGGGGGCGGTGGGGGCGCTGGAGGTGCTGCTGGCGCAATGGGCGCTTTGCGGCGCTGCGATGCCAGGATGGCGTTGGAGGCGGCGCGTGTGCTGTTGACCAGCAGGCACTGCTGACAGGAGCAGGGCTGACCCGAGTTGGCTCCCACAGGCCAGGACTGCGACTTGGGGATGGAACCGACTGTGAGTGGGTAGGCCAGGTCCAGGCGGCGGCGCAGGCGGCGGCGGCGGCGCGTCTGGCGGTTCATCTGGGACATGCTGTTGAAGTAGATGAGGTAGCAGAAGCCTAGCGACGAGAGGTCAAGCCACGGGTGCTGCTTCTCGTACGCGTTCTGGATGGTGATGCAGATGTCCATGTCGTAGGCCGTCCACGCGCCGCCGTCGTTTTCCCACTCCCAAACGATGCCCTTGCCCGGAGCTGACGATGGGTCATAGAAGTTGCGTCGCACTGGCCGCATGGTGCCTGCGCTCAGAAAGGAGAGGTGTGTCAGCACAGACCCCTAAGGGGACCTTCAGGGCCAGGAAGTGGATCTGTGTAGACAGGAGAGTCAAGACATAGGGACTGGGCCAATGGCTCAGCAGGTGCTTGTCACCGAGCCTGACAACATGGTTTCAATCTCATGATTCCAATCCAATCACATGTTGGAAGGTGAGCCTTGGCTCATTCAGGCTATGATCTGTCCTCCAATAAACTAATAAATAAAAGCAATAAAAGCAATAGAAATTTAAAAGGCATGGGGGCTTGGGAAAAAAGCAGGCAGGGTCCAGTCAAGGTGTGGGGTTCCAGGTTCATGAAGGGGTCATAGAAAGCCAAGGAGGAAAAAGAGCAAGGGGTTGGCCCTGGAGAGCCAGCCCAAGCTCTGCAGAGGGAAGGCAGGCCTGGAGGTCCTGGTTATCACAGGCGAGGGGTGGGGGGGTTGGCGGGGAGGAACAGCAAAGGTGGATAGTGGCCACCCAGAGAGCGAGAGAGGCCCATCTACTGGGCAAGCTCCCTCCCGGACTCCCAGGGTGCCCCCAGCCAGAGCACTTCTGGGTTCCAGCTTTCACACAGGACCCATTGGATCCCACACTTCCCCATTGGTCCATTCATTCACATATTCACTCCTCACTTCATTCAGCCACGCCTGCATTCACGCCTGGTGTACCCTTTCTCCTTCCCTCCCCTGCTTTTCCTTTCTTCTCCCCCTCTCTCCGTCTGTCCCTCGAGTGACAGTCCCAACCCCACAGCTCTGTGGTATCCTGGCTTAAGGTTCACTAGTGTTGTGGCTCCCCCTTGCTTTGCTCTGCACTGGCTGAAGTTGTGCCTGAGAGCACACTCTTTTTTTGTTTGTTTGTTCGTCTTTTTTTTTTGTTGTTGTTTTCTGAGACAGTGTTTCTCTGTCGCTTTTGAAGCCTGTCCTGGAACTCGCTCTTGTAGACCAGGCTGGCCTCGAACTCACTGAGATGCACCTGCTTCTGCCTCCCAAGTGCTGGGATTAAAGGCGTGAGCTTCACTCTTGAGGAAGCTGAGGGAACCCAGTGATTGACAGCGCAGGCTGGCAGGCTGCAAGATGTCCCAGGACCTAAACTGGCTCTGGGCTGCCTGGCCCAGGTATCACAATACAGAAATGACTCTTCTGGGCTTGCAAGGACACACCTGCTGCAGAGCTGTCCCCCGTGCCTCCCCAGGCCTCTATGGACCTGATGGCAGTTAACACAGATCGTTCCAGACAGGGCCTGGAAATCCATGACCTAAGAACCAAACCTCTGGGCGTGTCTAGGAGGGAGTTTCCAGACTGGGTTGGTTGAGGTGGGAAGACCCACCTTGGATGGGGTGGCATCATCCCTGTGGGCTGGGCTGGGGTCCTGCATTGCATAAAAAGGAGGAAGGGAGCTGAGCAATGGTGTTTGTCTCTCTCTGTTTCCTGGCTGTGAAGGCCGTGTGACCAACCCTCTGTGACTCCTGCTGCCTTGCCTTACCGCGATGACAGACTGTACCCCCCCCCCCCCCCCCCCCGCGAACTGTGAGTCAAAACAAGCCTTAGGCATTTTGTCATGGCATCGAGACAAAGAATCAATATGCTGGCCTCTCCTTGACAGTGGTGGGGTGCTCCCTGGTCCACTGCATCCCTCACCTGCTGGGAGGATTTGAGGGGAACCTCAGCGCAGCATCTGTGTGAGGCACCGGGGATTTGGAGCAGACAGCCCTCACCTCAAGTTCCCATGTAGTGACTATACAGCTCTGTAACCACATTCGGGTGACTTCCTCCGTCAGCCTTGGTTTCTCACCAGGGAAATGGGCCAGGTGGGCAGAGCTACCGGGACTATGGGGCGGATCCTGTCTTCACTTTGATGCCGTTAGCTCCACCCTCTCTCCTGAGAGCCCCTGTAGGCCCGTGTAGCCTCTTTGACAGCTCTGTTGCCTGATTCTCTGCTGCTCTAAGCCACTGTGACTCCTGTCCTTGGCCCACGGCAGTAGACTCATGCCTCTGTCCCCATCGGGGCAGCCAGCAGCCCAGATCACTCCCATTCCCATAGAGCTCAAAGTCTTCTATGGCTTCCAATTACCTGTAAAAACTGAGGTCCTCATGATGACCCAGCTCTGACCTGGTCTCCCTGCTGCCCCCATGGCCACCCCAAGCTCTGTGTGGCCTCAGGGCATTTGCACTGACTCTTTCCTCTACCTGGATTATGACCTAGCCACCCTCAGACTCCTTTAATCCAGGTTTGTTTGGATATCACCGGTTAGGACCCCTGCCTCATTGTTCCCCATTTCTGGTACCTGCTCACTCTGGCCATTACAGGCTCTTTCCTGCCCCCAACCATCAATCAGCTCAGGTCCACAGGGGGCTTCTCTGCTTAACCCTCCAGCTCCCCCGCCCCCACTTTGGGCATGGTGACTCACACAGTGGGTCCTCACAAAGTGAGATGTTTTTACAGCCAGATGCTGGGAGGTTGACCCTGTCTGACTGTTTCTCACTGTGTTGCTACTCAGGTTTCAAATACCTCGTCCTCTGCCTTGCCTTTTAGAAGGTTGTCTCTGACAACAGCACAGGCCCCGAGGACTGGGGAAGTTGAGGCACAGAGCTGCATTTGTTGATGGGAGAGGGACAGGACGGAAGGTGCCAAGAAACAAGGTCCCTGTGCAGCAGTAATGGCCCAGGCAGCCACAGGAAGACTCCCCAGGGCCCAATGTTTATTTATTGTAATGGAATGCATATCGATTTTCTGTGGTTTTCTCTGTCCTCTTGCTCCTGCATGCTAGACCCACCCTCTCAGTACCTCAGTTCCAGCATCTGCAGAATGAGGGGCTGTGAGCGAGATGAACCTTAAGTGCTGTGGTCAACTTTGCGGATGGGAATTGCCCCCCAGCCCAGCCCCGTCTGCTGCCCAGGTCCTGAGTCAAAGGGGTTCAGGGACAGAATGTGTGAGAGAAGTGAGGGAGAGAAGCTGCCAGTAGACTGGAGAGCTTGATGAGAACCCTGGCTCCTCACACAGGTTCGTATGTGTAAAATGTGGGTAATCGATACCTACTCCAGGAACTTCTGGGGAACAAAACAAGAGAAGGCATGGCAGGTGCTTAGCACATGACTTAGCATAGAGAAGCGACTGTGGAGTGTTGGCTGTGACAGCTGCTATTGCACACTTGACCCACTTCCAGAGTCCCCACCCAGTGAACTCCTAACCATTGCACTGAGCTCCCTGTGCCCAGCCCCTCCAGCGAGGCTTTAGTTCTGTTGCTGAAACCCGCACGTGTGGCTGTTGTACTCTGTCATTGAATCATTTCTGCTTTTGTCTCCTGAACTGGCTGATAACTTCTGGGAGTCACAAAGGCCAGATCAGCTTCACAGTTTCCCAAAAACCTGCCCCGAAGGAAGAAGGCAACCGAAACCAAGGCCTGTGGAGTGGAGGGGGAGAAGAGGGACCAGGCCTGGCAGAGAGGAGCAGTAAGGAAAGGGCTCTAGAGATTGCCTTGACCACTCTGCCACAAAGGATGCTGGGAGCTGCTGGCCAGCCCGCATCTGCTCCCCGGGGCTCTGTTTACCAGGCATGGATTTTCTTGCCTGTTTAGTGGTGGTTATTAAAGGCAGTGTCCCTGGAGTCCTTTTGAGAACGTATTGGTGCCTGGAGAGCTGGAGTAATTAGGGCGGCTACGCCCGCCCTACCGCCCGCCCTACCAGACCCTGCACTCTCGGCACCCGCTGCTGCCCCTCCACCCACCCCTCCAGCTCAGGGTGGCCATGAACCAGGGGGGCGTGGAGAGGGGAGGCAGCTGGCTTTCAGTGTCTGCTTGGACTTGGATCCTGAGATTTCCTAGCTGTGCTGGTCTCCTCCATGGTGGCCTTGGCCTAGATTTGTGGACAGAACAATACGCTGCAGACTAGGCGCTCAGTGCATGAGCCTGGGAGATGGGCCACTGCTTGGGCGTCTCCAGCCCCGGGCTGGCCACCCGGAGCAGGATCCCAGGGCAGCCAGCCCCTGTGCAGGACTGTCTGGGCCTGATGTTGTGCCAGCTTTTGTGATGGCTCCATCTTCTTTCTCTGTCCAGCAAGAATGGACAATTGAAAAATTGCTGGTGAGGGGCTGGGGGCCAGTGTCTGCTGGAGGCTGCAGGGAGGTGATAGCCAGACAAGGGAAGAGAGACACAGAGAGAGAGAGAGAGAGAGAGAGAGAGAGAGAGAGAGAGACAGGGAGAGAGACAGAAAGACGGGGTGGGGTTGGAAGGACAGAATGACCAATAGTCAGTGACAGATATATACGAGAGACAAAGACAGAGACAGACAGACATAGATATAGAGAGACATACAGGCAGAGGGACAGAGACAGAGATAGAGACACACAGACAGATAGGCAGACAAAGAGAGAAACAGGGAGACACACACACACACACACACAGAGGAGGGAGCAGAGAGAGCAAGACAGACACAGAGAGACAGAATTTACTATTAGAGGCAGCAAGGTCTTTGTGGGAGCCTGAGGGGCAGGTACTGACTACCTGCCAAACAGAAGCTGGAAGCCTAGGGGCTGCCCAGCAGCATGGGGGGGGGGATGAAGGCTGAGGTAGAGACGGGGGCTGGGAACACCAGCACTACAGAGCATCAGTTTGTGTCACTGTATGCCCCACTGGACGCCCTTTGCTGAGTACTTACTGTGTGACCCCTACAGGCTCATTTCTCTTCCCTCCCTCCCTCCCTCCCTCCCTCCCTCCCTCCCTCCTTCCCTCCCTTCTTTTTTTTTCCTCCCTCTCTTCTTAGGCCACACAGACCTGTCCCTTTTCACATTTGAGGAAACCGGTCTAGCGAGGGGAGAAAGGGTGAGAGCTGAGGGCTGAGCAGAGCAGAGGAAGGGCAAGTTGCAGTATGACTTGTTTCCTATGGCTTCCCACCTAGCTGAGAGGTACCCTAACATAGAATTCCTCCACTCACGGGGATCTCACTACCTCCGTTTGCTTTCCTACCTGGATAGCACCCCCCCACACACACA